GCTTAATTTTATCCAATACTTGTAAAGTACATTATGCTGAGACTTTGACAAGTCATGCCATCACAACTCAGTTGGTGGTATTGGAATCTTTTTGACAAAAATATTTATTCATCTGGCTATCCACTAACAGCTTACTACTTAAAATAGCTCTTGACTTAAGGCCATATCTGATCATTGTGGTGTTGATTTGATTAACATAGGTGTTAATGCTGCCCCACGTTATTTCATCATCAAGCTACTATATCATAACCACAGGCTGCATTGTCCTAGATTTGGAAAAAGAGAATGAATTGACCAGGGTGGAATATCATATTTTTGGAAGACTAATGCAATCCTTTGTTCCAATATGGATGCTCTAAAAACAAAAGAGTTTTTTTCTTTTTGTAATAATATCATCTACTCTTTGTAGAAAATTAAAATATCAAAGAAAGGTATAAAGAAGAAAATGAAAGGTCTGTCAAATACCACTCTCCATTTTACTATGAAAAACCTTCCGTGTTTCGTAGGACATCTTCCTACACCCTCTTCTATAAGTGTGTATATATGCAGCATATAGTATTCTATATATGTTTTGCATTGTGCTTTTGACACTCTAAATATGTAATAGGGGTTTTTCCATATCAAAATAAATATACAATAGCTACTCAGATTTAATTAACCTGGTTTATATCTGTTGATGGGCATTTAGGAGATTTTTTAAAAACATTTTATTTATTTATTCATGAGAGACACAAAGAGAGAGAGAGAGGCAGAGACACAGGCAGAGGGAGAAGCAGACTCCATGCAGGGAGCCTGATGTGGGACTTGATTCCAGGGCTCCAGGATCACACCCTGGGCTGAAGGCAGGCGCTAAACCACTGAGCCACCCAGGGATCCCAGGAGATTTTTTTTTTTGAAAAGTTTTTGCTTATGTAAAAAATTTGTCAGATATATGTCTGTAAAGGGAGTTGGTTAGCCAAAGAGTATATGCATTTGTCATTTTTGTCACTAGAGCCACACTGTCACTCAGAAAAAGTACATTCCTGGTTACAAGATACGAGGTTGCTCATTCTTACCCTTTTGTCAACAATGAATGATATCCCTTTTCCTCACCTTTGCCAATCTGATATACCACAGAGAGTATTTTTCTTTAATATTCATTCTCTCATTGTATTCACGGCTTTAAATACTAACGCTATATAATCTGACATCCCCAAATGTTACACACTATAATGCAGACTTGAAATATTCCACTGTCTACTAGACCTCTTTTAATAGTCATTTGAACCCACTCAAAACTGAACACCTTACCTTCCATCAAACATTTCTTGCTTGCTCTTTTCTCGTATTAGTTAGTGGCTGATCCATCCTACCATTCTCCCATCATAATCTTGAAGGCAGGCTTTTCTGTGTCTCGTGCTTCAAATTCAAGCCTCTCTACATCATCATATATCCAGAAATATACTACTTCTCTCACGTTGGTGGCTACTGCTCTGATATCGGCCTTATTTATCTCTTGTTTGGTTTATTGCTATGGCTTCTCTGGTTTATCTACTTTCCCTTGTCCCCCTCTGTCCTGTTCTCAGCACAGCTACCTTAGTATACTATTAAGTGGCAAGTGAATCATACCACTCAACTGCTCACAACTCATTTGACATTTTTTCTCTTAGTCAAAGACAACATTCCTGCAATGGTCAACCAGGCCCTGCATTATATTCTTCTCCTTCCCATTCTTTTTCCTTTTGACCTTATCTCCTCACTTCCATGCCTCTTCCACTCTCTCCAACCACCCTAACCTCCATGGTGTTTCCTGTCCAGATCACTCAGAGGGAGATATGTCCTTACTCCCTCACTTCCATCAATTCTTCTCTCAAGTCATCTTCTGGACTAGAATTTCTTTGACTAGTGTTTAAAATTGCTGCCCTGTTCTTTGAAACTTTGCTATCCCTTTCCCTTCTCTATGTCTCTCCATACCATGCATTTCATATTTTATCATTTGTTAATATCTTTCTCTCCTCACCAATGTAAGAGCTCCATGATAGCAGGGACTTAGTCTTGTTTTTACTGCTATATCCTCAGTGTGTAAAATAGGACTGGCACGTGGCACATAGGGGCATGAAGTGCATAGCATGGACTGGGCACAAGATAAGTAATGAGTGAAATTTCAAGAGTGCTATTTGGAGGAAAGCACTTTTCTCTGGAGTGTTCATATCTTTTCTTATTAATATGCTGTGACTCTTTATATTAACAGTTTAAAATTCTTATTTTATGTTGCATATATTTTCTTTGTCACCAAACATCTTGCCTTGCAGTTTTAAGTTTAATGCTTTCTCTCATCTAAATATGAGTTTCTGCCAGGAAACTGTTAGAAAGTCTTTCCCTGCCCTGCAAAGTATTTAGAAATTCTCTCATATTTTCTTCTAGTATATTTAGGGTTTTATTTGAAAAAAAGCTGAGTTGAAATGGGATTTATCGAAAGAAAGAAATGATAATATATCCAGATTATTTTTTTCTAAGTGTCTATACAGTTGCCTCAAAACCATTTACTATACAGTGCATTGCTCTCCTACCAATTTGAAATGCCAAATTTCCCATACTAAATGTCCATATATTTTATGTAATGAAAGCAACTTTTTCTTTGTTCTATTTTACTCACAGCTGCCATGTTCGTTTATGTGATTAAATGCATTTGAATAAATGTAGTTTATCCCAGATTTTAAATATTTGTTCCCCGTATCCTTTCTCTATATTTTTTATAACTGAAAACAGCCATAATTCCTTTTTCACCAATATTATGTTAATAGGTAATACTTATATCTTGAATATTATAATGTACATTAAACTAAGAAAATGTTTAAATCTGTATGCTGTAGAAAGTAATTAATAGATTTTATATACAAAATTGTTGACAGTATTTTCCTTTGGTTGGTCAGAATATGGGCTTTTTTTTTTACCCTTTTGTTGTATTTTTGGAAAGTTTCTAGAGTAAGTAGTCATGTTATTGATAATATTTTTTGGAACTTGAAAAATGTGGTAAGTCATATGTAAAGGGAAACTGGTGAAATTGTAATAAAGAAGCCAGGAAATCAAAGAGACAGTTTTGAGACAGCTCATGGAAGAGTGGCATTTCAATATATGAACACATGTGACAGAGGTAATTCCATGCTGTGTCTAAAAAATGAAGACTCAAAAACCATATGAAAAGTACAAGGTTGAGTAAGCCAATATGAGGTATAACTGAGTGTATTGATAGAAAATGAGTGTAGGTTATGAGTTTGTAAAGGCACATTAGGACCATGTTATCCAGCAGGATATTTTAAATCATGTAAAGTTTGCTGAATATACATGCCTAAGTCACTTCCCAGAATTTGGTTTACAGGGCCTCTAACAGTTAATTTGATTAATATTGTTAAATAGGAACTCCTTGCCCCATTGCAGTATAGTACACACTACAAAAATTCCGGAAGGAAAGAAGTATGCTTTTTGTAATGTGGGTTGAAAATTGAAGTCCAGAATTCAGTTTTGCATAATATCATTAGCATTAACTAGGAGAACAATAAAGAATCTGGGTGTTTGGGACGCCTGGGTGGCTCAGCAGTTGAGCCTCTGCCTTCAGCTCAGGACATGATCGTAGAGTTCTGGGATTGAGTCCTGCATCAGGCTCCTGCATGGTGCCTACTACTCCCTCTGCCTATGTCTCTGCCTCTTTCTGTGTCTCTCATGAATAAATAGTAAAAAAAATCTTTAAAAAGAATAAATAAATCTGAATGCTGTGAATAAAGAGCTTTATTTATTTATTTTTATAGCAAATGTATCATAAAAACATGAATTATATGATTTTTTTTATTATAATTAGAGAATATAGTTCAATTTTGGTATTTTGGCATTTATGAGCATTGTTATCTTGCCATGCATTGTAGAATAGGATTTTATACACTGACTTGTGCCAAACAGGTTAATACTGATGTGTAATGAAAAACAAGTGAAGTGAATAAGCATAGTGATTTTGTTGGGTTTTTGTTTTGTTTTTGTTTCTAAGCCTTAGATCTAGCAGGTGGTTTTCTGATGTTTATTGCTTATCAGTGAGTTTTTGTTTATTAAGTGTTTAAAGGTGCTTGCTGCATCAATGCTTTTTGATCTCTGGCAAGTTGCTGAAAGTCTTTGAGCCTTACTTAATTTTCTCGTCTGTAAAATGAGGACAGTAATAGTATTTTGTTCATCAAGTTACTGGTGGAATTAAGTGAAACAATTCATGTAGTGTTGAGTGTAGCAGTGATACAAAATAAATGTTTAATGAATGTTACCTGGTTTAATTATGAGTAAATATTTTAGTTTAATTTAGGGGGAAAATGATATCTAGGACTAAAAATCATTGGAAATTATTCAATGGAGTTAAGGGGAAAAGATGGAAACTCTCCTTTTTACAGTTTCCTTTCATTATGTTGAAAATGTTGTATTAGCAAGAAAGTTCAGTCTTCAGAGAAATTATATATCATTTTATTCTGCAAAGTAAATCTCGAGAAGTCTGTGTGTATTCAGATTAGCATTATAGAAACAATTTCCTTTATTTTTTTGAATATTTTCTTTATTTATTTGAAATAGAGTGAGAGCAAGAGAGCATGTGCGAGGGTGGAGGTGGGGGAAGGTAGGAGAGAGATAAAGAGAGGGGAGAGAAGCAGGCTCCTCCCTGAGCAGGGAGCCCAATGTAGGGCTCAATCCCAGGACCCTGGGATCACACCCTGAAACAAAGGCAGACGCTCAATTGACTTAGCTACCCAGGTTCCCCTCCTTTATTATTTATCAAATTTATAATTAATGTGAGAATTTAAAAATACAGTGATTTTTCTCCTGTGAACATGGTATATTTGTATTTACAGTTTTATGGTGGAAGAATGTCACCAGAAGAAAAAAGATATTGTCTACCTTCCCTTTCCTCTTTCATATCATGAATACAGGCTTCATTTGTTGTCATGACTAGAGGATTCCAGACTCTCCTGACTCACAGTTTCTTTCATCTGCAGACCCATTCTGAAGAGAGACCATTCCAATGTGAGGAATGTAAAGCTTTGTTCCGAACCCCATTTTCTTTGCAGAGACACCTGCTCATACATAACAGTAAGTCACAATACAAGCAGTTGAGGAGAAACTGAATGATCTCAAACTTCATTCTTATAACTTTTGAGAATGTAGACATTATAGAAGTGGACCCATATGTAGTTATGTGATCTGCTTTTGCATATAAAAGGGCTGGTAATTCTGCCTTTCGCCTTTTCTTCCTTTACTGTTGCTTTATTTTCATATATTAAGATAACTCATTTTATCAGACATTTTATTTTATATTAGTTCTTTCCACTGTTTAAAGTTTGTATATAAAATCTTGTCTTATGTTCAGTAAGGTATCTTTGAAATTTGTTCTGAAATAGACATTTTTGTTCCCTTTTAAATAAAATGATTAAGGAAACATCTCTGACCCTTTAAAATATGCAGATGTCTGGCATGATTTTATTAGCTCACAGACTTTTAAAGTTGAAAAGATCAGAGTGCACATCTAATTTAACCTGTTAATTGAGGGGAATAGAGAAAATTGAGACTCACATAAATACGGTGACATACACAGGGTTCTAGCTCTGGAGGTAACATCCAGGTTCCGATAGGTGCTTTTCCTAATACTATACACTGCCTTTGACTTCTTACTTTTTTTGGCAAGAGCATTTCTTTTATTTTTGGATTGAGTTGTACACATACTCACCATGCAAATTTGTGAGGCAGTTACATTCGGAGCTATATTTAGAATACACCTTATACCCACATCATAGCAGGATACTTTCCATCACTTTATTTCAGAGAACATGCTATTGCTAAGCTGAGTTTTAAAATGGGTTCTGTGTTCGGATATTGAAGTAACCGGACATTTGCTACATTACTGTATCTAAAATTAAAGAAAAATGGCATAATGTTGGTAATATCTGTATTTACTGCTTTTGAGATGTTTAATCAGTAGAATATCTTTGGAAACAAGGTTACTACTGCTGATTAAATTTTTAATATATCTGAGGAATGCAAAACAATTAATCAGTTGTGACAACTGTATAGATAAGATAGTATCTTGGAAGAAATTTTCTCTGGTACAGTAGAAGTTCTAAAATTCAAAATAACAAAAATATTAAATTTTCAAAAAGTACTGAGTGTAATGATCATGACAAAATGCATCTTTTCCTACAAAGGAGATATTGTTAGGGTCTTGCCATCCTACATTTTACCTTAAAGCTCTGGAGAATTTTCAACACCACTTTCTATTTCCTTATTAAAGACAGATATGCATTTGAGAAATAAAATTTGTCATGTAACAGCAGGAACTTCCATCTCATTTTGCTATCATTTGATTAAGAAAAACAATCATTAGGAGATGAATGGATTTTAGAATAGGGATTGGGACAATGAGCCTCATTCATACTATTAAGATTCCTGTGGCCAAATTGGGCCTAATGCTCCAGAAGTTTTCTTTGGATAGATGAAATTTTATTTTCAATAACAGCAAGAAAATTTTATTATAAGGAATCTACTACTTTTGTTTTCTGCTGATTAGTTCTCGTAAACTTGAGACATAGGATGAAGCAGCAGTGTAGACTGTGCCTCTCCATTCTGTATATAATATAATGTTGATCAGCACATTAATCAAAGGCTTTATGAAGCTGCACCAAGACAGTTGGCTGGAAAATCAGCTTTGTAATTGAGTAAGTTGGCTATTGAAGGTAAAGTTAAATATCAGATAAGGCTAGTGAGCTAAAAAGATGGGAAAAAACAGAAGTGGGCAGAATAAGACAAAATATTAGATGTTACCTTACACAATATAAAAATTAAAACATGTTTAGCTTCAAAACATGCAGGCTATTTTAGAAATTTATATCAGCACTCTGGCTCAAAATATGAAGAATAACTTGTCATAATTATTTTGGAAAATATTGCTATTTTCTAACACACTGAACACCAAAAAGCAGGTTACTAGCTAGCTTCTTGGTTTTAAGATAGGAAAAATCCTATCTTTAATCCTATGTTTATTTCTTTAAGGCAAAGAAATCTGATAACATCAGATAAAATCTCATCAAAGTTAAAAAATTCTGATAAGCTTAAAACAAAGAAATCTGGAATTAAAATTTGAAAGAAGGTAAGGACTCCCTTGGTATAGCTTAATGAGGTCTTTGTATAGGAATCAATACTTTGATTCATGTGATAGTTTAATGGAAATGCTTTGGTAGGAGAAATCTTGAAGGATTGCTTTTTTGTTTTGTTTTTGTTTTCTAATTAATTTTAAAGATTTATTTATTTTGAAGGGGTGGGGGAGAGGGAGATGGAGTGGAAGGGAATCCTAAACAGAACCCTCACTGAGTGCAGAGGCCTAATCAGGGGCTTGATCCCAAGACCCTGAGATCATGACCTGAACCAAGACCAAGAGTCTGACATTTAACCGACCGTGCCGCCCAGGCACTCCTTGTTTTTGTTTTTTAATTTCTTTTTGTCCCTGAGTTGTTTTGGTATTATTTATAGTCATATATTGTTGATATTCTCTTTTACTCTCACTTATTATACATATTATACAAATAAAGTATTTAAATACATCTAAAAAGATATATAAAGTAGGTTATAGCAAATAGCAACTAACAACAAAAGTGCACAAAGGCAACATATAAACATAGCACTCAGAATCTACACAGTTTGTGCATGGTTTGGATGTGACTTTGTTACAAGCATCAGATTTCAACAGAGCTTTCAAAAATTTTAAGTTAAAGATTCATAATTCTGTTTTTGAAGGGTAATTTGTCTTTTTTTCCTTTTTCCTTCTTTTGTCCTTCCTTCCTTAAATTTGGTATGAAGAAATAATAGGATCTTCATGTTTCTAAATCTATGCTAGTTATAATGCAGGGAAATTGGAAGAGTTTGGTTGAAAGTGAGGTAGTCTCTTATTTCAATGTAGAAAGTTATATTTGTCTTAGTGAATATAATATGTGAATCTATGCTAATATCATTGTTCTTTAAAAAAGGAAAATATATTCAAATACTAGTCTGTCTTATATAATCATGTGCTACATGCATTTTATAACTTCCTGAGAGATAAAACTGTCTTCTAATTGTACATATTTATCACTTAAAATGTATTTAAAATAGATGACTGAAAAAAAATAAAAAAATTAAAAAAAATAGATGACTGAAGGTTAGACTTTAAGAAGACCTGTAAGGATAGCATTATATAAGAGTTTTTAAAAAAATGCCATACTAGACACCCCCTAAACATAGTTTGTGGAGTTGCTTTCTCTACAGTCCTAGGCTATAGAATGAGAACAAGGTGAAAACCCTCACAGTTATCCAGGGGCGTAGGGGTAGAAAAGGATAGTTGCCCCAATCCAGCTGTGTCTCTGAGAGGCAGCCCCCCAACCTGTGTGAGAGCCTGGAAGTTAAACCCTTCCCCAGTGAATAAAAGAAATTAGCAGACCAAGGACCATGTTAAGGAGTCCCTAGTCCAACTTCCCGAGATAGTGCTGAGGAAGGAAGGGATGTTGTAGCCCTCTTGGCCTAAAGGGGGCTCACCCATTTCTATGTGCCCTCAGGGGCTTCCCTCCCCATTTTGCTTCTTATGACCCTGTCTGCCTGTCCCTGTCCCTTAAAGGCCATAAGAGTTGTGGTGGGTATGAGGAGAGTTTAGGATCCACCCCAAAGGCCATTTACTCTGCCTGACAGAAGCCTTTTGTCACCACAAGAATCTACTTACTTCAGACCTGACATCCTGCCTTAGAAATATATACTTTTAAAGAAAGTTCATGTTTCCTTTAGGAAATTAGCTAATTGAGTCTCCACATTTTCCAGTTAAAGAGGCTGAGAACATAAGAAAGTTAAAGCACCTCCCACTGGTCACAGAATGAATTAGCAAATATGGAATCAAAAGATGTGAAAAATTACCTTTTCTGGTTATGATAAATTGTTAGTAATAAAGCTAATGTTTTGGAGGAAAGCCACTATATCTGGTACCCATGAGAGGGAGTTAACATCACCCTGCTATTGCATCTGATCTTTCTCTTGTTTGACTTTTTCATTTATAAGGTGAGAGGACTTTCAAGTGCCATCACTGTGATGCTACCTTCAAAAGAAAAGATACCTTAAATGTTCATGTCCAGGTGGTCCATGAAAGACACAAGAAATACAGATGTGAGCTGTGTAATAAGGCATTTGTTACACCTTCAGTGCTTAGAAGTCATAAGAAAGTAAGTAGAAGCCTTCTGTGAGTTTGAATGGATTATATCCCTCAGCAGTATGGGCATGAGACTGTGCATTATCCTGTGATAATCAATTTTATATTAATTAATCAACATATTTACTCAAAATGACGAATAAGGGATGCATGATTTATATGAGCTCTTCAGAAAGTGTTGTTCTTTCTAGTTTTTCAGAAGAGCTATATAATTGGGATGAAAGTGAACCTAGATTTAGGTGTGGGATTTTGCATAGCCCTGAGCTATGATGATAGATGGGTTGTATAAAGTAGTCAATGAGTAGGAGCTTGTCAATTTTTGTACACTTTTGGATTCATGTGGAGTTTTATTTTAAAAATGAGTAGTGCCTTAATTTTATTTTTCAGAGCTAATTCAGATATTCATTGACAAGTTATTAGACTGACCTCTTTTCTAGGATTGGAATGGTCCTTCATCCTGGAACTCTAGGACTCAGGGAAGTTCCTAGTATAGAAGAGGGACTTGATAAGTATCTGCTTCACTCAAATAAAATGATGTTCTTCCTTATGTTGTTTGGGAGATAATCTTTTTGCATTATGCTCATTACTTTAGGCAAATCAGGAGGTTATCTTTATTTGCATTGTAAGTACATTTTGTGTGTTTTCAAAAATAGCAAAATTCATAGTGTAACAAACACCATTAAAGGTTTTAATGTGGGCTTTAGAAATGACTGTGAAGTGTAATAGATTCTGCTACTTAGTGTATACTGCTGAGTGATTAAGAAGAAGTGACTCCTGCTACAATGTGACTTTTATTTTGGTACCTACCTGTAGTGATAGCTGGGCCAAAGGACTGATTTGAGGAACTTTTTTTTTTTTTAATTCGATTTGAGGAACTTTCTATTCTCATGTCTTTAATGATAATTGTCTTCTTTTTTCAAATTTCCTGGGAAGATAGTCTTTCAGATCTCTTTGCTTGAACTACTTTTCTGCATGAATTTAATAAATTTGTGTCACATTTTAATTGTGGGAAAAAATAATACATTTTCAAAGGAGATTGTTAGTCATTTGTCCACAATCACAGATTGTCATAGAGGACATTTTGGAGAGCATTGATCATTTTTGTTCATACATTTATCCAGCATTATTGTTGTAGTAATCTGTTTCCATGCTTTCTTATCTATATTTAAGATATTTTGCTATTGTACCTTTAATGTCTTTTAAAACCATTGAACCAAATTCCCATACCTAATAATAAGCTGCATTTTTGAATTAAACTAAAGAGCATCTTAATTCTTTTCATTAATGTCGACTTAATGTTGTTTAGTTTGGAACTTATATTCCTGACCAGGAACTTAGGTCATGTAAGTGAGCAATGAAATACTTATGTAACAGCAAAAGAAATTCTGTGGGTTTTATAAAGATACTGTAAATAAATAGGTAGTTGCTTGTTTGGAATATCCAATGTTGTAATAATAGATATATGCAATTTCTAAACAATCTTACACTAATCAAGAAAAAACTGTTGTATTTTGCTGCTTCTGTCAGGGAATGAGAAGAGTATAGGTCTGCTATATGTTAAAATGTTATACCATTTCCTTTAAAATGAGCCATAATGGGGAACAGGGGAGTAACGGCTCTTACTGTAAAGAATGTATAACTGTTTTAAATAAGAACTTGTAGTGAAAATGGAAAGTTAAGTGCTTGCCAAATGCAGAATCAAGGAGATGTCTGTTGTAGCCAGTGTCATTGGCTAGTGTGGCAATTGGTTAGATTATATTTCTTCAACTTGAATATAATGTGAATAATTTTCAATGGAAAAATATTTAAAAGGACACTGATGTTGACTAAGGCATTTGGTTTATAATTCTTTTAAAAATGACAAATATAATAGTGTATATTCAAATACAAATTATAATTCAAATATGAAAAATTTCAAATTCAGTACCAGTAAGGCTGTGAACCTAATTATATCAAAGTTAGCAATTAATTTAATATGGAGAATATTTTGCCAAATTGATTGCTTTCTGAGATTGTCAGGTGATGAGGTAACTGTCCTACCCCTTTGGCTCTATGCCAGCCTGTGTGTTCCTTCTGGGAACACATTATTGAAAAAAAAAAGAAGCCTTTCCTCTTTTTTATACATTAGCCCATGGCGGTGCCAGTAATTTGCCCAAAAACTATGCAAACACAGGCCCTGGTAACTGTTTTGTGGTGGTAACCCATATGATCCACTATGTACTTTTATTGATGTGTAGGTCATCGTTGAAAAAAATATTAAAAATAGGGGATTCCTGGGTGGCTCAGTGGTTTAGCACCTGCCTTCTGCCTAGGGTGTGATCCTGGAGACCTGAGATTGAGTCCAATATCGGGCTCCCCTTCTCCCTCTGCCTGTGTCTCTGCCTCTCTCTTTCTCTCTCTGTGTGTGTCTCTCATGAATAAATAAAATAAAATAAAATAAAATAAAATAAAATAAAATAAAATAAATAATATTAAAAATAGTCTCATGGAGAATGTGCAGATATCTGAAGTAATTTCCTTTTTCTCCCTTTTTACCTTCTCCTACGTTTGAAAAACAATGGGACTTGAAAAGTAGCTCTGACCCCTCATTTATTGGAATGACCTATTTTGACGGTGGTAGAATAATTGGTCTCCTCATGAGATTGTGAGATAAGTTTTAAAAGCTCCATCTGCCTCCTCTTTTGGGAAAGGTCACTCTTTTCTTTGAACTAACATTCTGTCAAAATTCACTTTTGATGATACAGATTCACCTATCCTTGTGTGGTTGCTTTATGCTGACATTAGAGGTATGTTGAGGGCAAAGATGTTCTTTCAAATTGACTACTCAATTAACACCAGCTAATTTTAAAAATCAAATCAAATATATATTTCTTTTTGCTTTGCAGTAAAATCAATCCAGCCAGGCAGGCATAATGCAAATAACAGATTACTTTATTGAGATTAATTCTGTTCTCAAGAGTTAAATACACACAAAGAATGTGGAAAATGCTTCTAAGGAAGTGTTTCTTGGCAGCAGTCAAGGGCAGCTGTAACCCCATTTTGATTATGTGGTTTTGCCAGCATATACTGGTTTTATATAACTTAATCATTTTTACTTGGGGGCTCCATAAAGGCTTAAAAAGTAAACTGTAGAATTATTTTCAAATTAGCACTAATTAATGATTCTAAGGTTTGGGGCTTTTTTTTTTTTTTTTGAACCAGTGGGAATACTCATGATAAATTGTTTAAAATCTCATTGTGATATTAAATCATTTTAATGAAACATAATCCTGGAAAAAAAGGATTTACCATTGTCAGAGGCACTTAATCATCTTTACCTAAATCTTTATATTTATCCTGAACCCTTTTTATTCCTTTCCATTTAGACACATACAGGAGAAAAGGAGAAAATCTGCCCTTACTGTGGCCAGAAATTTGCCAGCAGTGGTACACTGAGAGTTCATATCCGTAGCCACACAGGTATGTAGATTGTAGTTGGTGATGAAAACAACTTAAATAAATCAAATTATTTTAAGATAAGGAATATTGTAATGTTACAAAATATCTCACAGATTAAGAATTAATCTTGGCTCTTTTCCTTAAAATTTTATAGAATCCAGTTTCTTACTTTAGAAAACTTTATTTAAAATTTATTTAAATTTTAATTTCCCAAGACAAGTTAACTATCTGAAATGGAAATAATTTGCTAATGTTTAATTGTGATATAATTGTGATTTACTGTATATTCTATCCTAATGAAGAAATAGGGAATAGCAGTTTCACTTTTTATAGAAGGCTAAGTACCTCCTCTTAAAATTCTTTCCTATAACTGGCATCAAATGTGTCTTTTTTAAACTTAAAAAGTCCTTGGAATATTGCTCGAATGCTGTAGGACTTTATTGGATGCAAGTGTGATGCTACCATAATGTCCAGTATGCCATGGATTGCTTCCTAAAAGATTCCCTTCCTTTCCTACGACTTTTTGTTCAATTTCTCCCATGAAAGAGGGTTGTGCCCTAATGAAGAATGAAAAGACAACTAAATATTCATTTTTAAAAATTTAACTGACATAGTTGACATAATACTAGTTTCAGGTATACAAATAGTGATTTGATAATTATTTATATTATAAAAAGTTCACCATGAAAAGTATAGGATAAGTCTAGTTACCATTTGTCACTATATAGTTATTACAATATTATTGACTATATCCCTATGCTGTACTTTTCATCCCATGACTTATTTTGTGACTGAGGTTTGTACCCCTGAGTCTTCTCTTATTTGACCCATCTCCTCACCGCCTTCTTCTCTGGTGATCACTAGTTTAGTTCTCTATATTAATGAGTCTGTTTCTCTTTTTGTTGTTGTTGGTATTTGTTCATTTGTCTTTTAGATTCCACATATAAGTTAAACCATATATTTGTCTTTCTCTGACTTACTTTATTTAGCATAATACCCTCTAGGTCTATCCAAACTGTTGTGAATGGCAAGGAATTATTCTTTTTTATGGCTAATAATATTCCATCGTGTATATATGCCACATTTTCTTTACCCATTTATCTATCAACAGATACTTTCATTGCATTGCCTCTGTATTTTGGCTCATGTAAATAAATAATGCTGCAATAAACATAGAGGTGCATACTTTGTTTTGAATTACTGTTTTTTCTTCTTTGGGTAATACCCAGAAGTTCAATTACTGGATCATAATTATAATCATTTATCACAAGTACTTCCATTTTTAGTTTTTTGAGGACCCTCTATACTATTTTCCAGTGAGGCTGCATTCCCACCAAGAATGTACAAGGGTTCCCCTTTTTCCACATTCTCGCTACTACTTGTCATTTCTAGTCTTTCTGTTACTAGCCGTTCTGATTGATGTGAAATGTTATCTCATTGTGGTTTTGATACGCATTTCCCTGATGAATAGTAATGTTGAGCATCTTTTCATGTGTCTATTGGCCATCTGTATGTCTTCTTCGAAATAAGATCTGTTCAGGTTTTCTGCACATTTTTTTCATTGGATTACTTGTTGCTTTGGTCTTGAGTTGTACGAGTTCTTTACATATTTTGGATGTTAATCCCTTATTGGGTATATCATTTGCAAATATCTTTAAACAATTAAATATTCTTGAAAGAACCTTGTCTGGATTTTATCTATTGTGCAGAAAAATACTTGAAGGGACTTGAAAAAAAGTCTTTATATTGATAGCCAGATTATTTTACCTGGATCCTCATGATTTTCAGTAGCTGGACATTATATGGTAAAAGGTGACTGGATTACATTGCTAAAGCTTCCTGTTTTTAAAAGTCATAGTATTTGACTTTATGATTATATCCCTAGTACTTCACAGAGTAGACATCTAGCCCAGTAACTATTTTGTGATGATGAAATTGTAGTTTAAATAGGTCAAAGAATCAAAAGTACAATTATTATGCATAGATGGAGGAAAGGACAGCAATGGAACATAATTTATTATTCTGGAAATTTTTTAGCTAAAGCTAAAAGACATAACATCAAAGTAGTATTTGTTAACTTAAAGTAGCCTCTTAAAAACTTTTAAATGAAACCTTTAACCAAGAATATATCAAACGTTATACATGATGGCTGTAGAATAATGGGTGCCCTAAAGAAAGAAAAAGGAGGTTTTGCTTAGAAGTAGCCAGGGAAAGTGCAGTTTGGGGAACAAAAACAGAATCAGAGAACAACAAAAATAAAAGAGGGAAGCAAAAGGAAAAAAAGTGGTAGAGAGCCATGTGGAGGGCAGGTGAACTTAAAATCATGCCAGAAGCTTACACTGTGACCTGATTACACTGAAGAAACCAGTAATAGATATAACTTATGTTATTGTTTTCTCCTCTTCTGTTTTCCTAATTCTTATAGGATATCATACTGAGAATTTTATGTTCAGTGTCTCCCTTTCCTTTCTTTCAAAATCCTAAATCCTTGAATGTGCTGAAACTTTAATAATTTATAAATATAATCTTGAATGACCATTGATAAAGAGGTAATTTACTATCATGTTGTCTGGCATACTTTTCTTAATGTATTACTCTTGGAAAAATGCATTTTTGATGGGAAAAAAGCATTTAGGTGGCTATGTTCCTGATTAACCTAACCTTTCTTAATAAATGCTGAAAGGAGAACTTGGTTGGAAAGATTATTTTCAGTGGTGTTTTAAATTCTGAACTATGTGTGTCTCACTAATTTCTTTCTTAAAATTAAACCATAATGATCTCCAAGATAAACTTTCAAAAATTCAATTTACATTGTCACATCAAAAGTTGTCCTTGACTTTTTAAATTATTACTATCTTCCCTATTAGACATAAACCCAAAGTGTGCTTAATTTTTAAGTCCAAAAAGAGATCACAGGCAGTAAATTTTGTTTGAAAAAGGAATATTATGGGATGCCTGTGTGGCTCAGCAGTTGAGTGTCTGCCTTTGGCTCAGGGCATGATCCTGGTCCAGGTATCAAGTCCCACTTCAGGCTTCCTGTGAGGAGTCTGCTTTCCCTCTGTCTACGTCTCTGCTTCTCTCTCTGTCTCTCATGAATAAATAAAATCTTTAAGGAAAAGAAAACGGAATATTGTCCTGTTCCTTGAAGAGCTGCTTAAAAAAAAAGGAAATAAAGCCTGTGTATCTAATATTGAAGAGATTGGTTAAAGAAATTATGGTATATCTATAAATTGGAATATTCTGTAGTCAATAAAAGCAGTATTATATATTAGTATATCATATATTAGTTCACATGAAAAGAAATAAGAAATACAAGTTACAAAAACAAAATGATATATTTTATAAAGATGAAACATTTATGTAAAAATGTCTTAGAGGTTAAATACTAAATTATTAACTGTGGTTATTTCTTTGTATTATAAATATGGGTAATTTGAATTTTCTTCCTGATTTTCTGTGTTTTAATATAAGTTTCTTGAATAACAAAATATTTAAAATACATTAATATTATGATTATGCAGGTCACTGCTATTATTAGATTTATGCTAAATTATTTAGGTACAAAATGTTTTTGCAACTGATTCTCAAATGGACCAACAGAAAGAAGTGCAAAAGAATGTGGTTATAAAAGGGAGAAATGAGAATGAAAAGCAAATATGGTGACATTAAACCCAAGTATGGGTATATAATACTTATTGTACTATTTTTCCAAGTTTTCTCCAAGTTTAAAAATTTTCATAATTAGGGATCCCTGGGTGGCGCAGCGGTTTGGCGCCGGCCTTTGGCCCAGGGCGCGATCCTGGAGACCCGGGATTGAATCCCACGTCGGGCTCCCGGTGCATGGAGCCTGCTTCTCCCTCTCCCTGTGTCTCTGCCTCTCTCTCTCTCTCTCTCTGTGTGTGACTATCATAAATAAATAAAAAATTAAAAAAATATATATTAAAAAATTTTTCATAATTAAAAGTGTGAGTGTTTTATTCCAATGAGAACAACTGAAGGGATGCAGATGCCAGCTAAGTGCCACTAAGAACCATTTCCTGAATATCCAGCTTCACAGCTTACATCTTGTTCACATGTCCCTCAAAGCCTAGTTATTTCAACAGGAAGACTTTCATTCTTTGAATATAAACAGACTTGTTTTGTTTTGTTGCTTATAGTCATGCCACTCAGAGAGAACTCAGATTCTCCTGAGTAAGCAGAACTTCATTACCACATGCTTAGTTATCTTCTTGAAAAAGGAATTCCATGAAATTTGCTATTGGTATAGAGTTTTTAGAAGTTTTTAAAAATACATTGTAAAGTATATGTATTCTTTACAAAAGAAGGTTTAAGGAGTTGATAAGGCTTACCTAGTCCTGCTGTTACCCTACTATACATCTTACAGTGGTTTCCCCTCGTTTTGTGCAAAATGACCAGCCCTTACCTATCACGCGACTCATAAACTACCAATTCCTCTCCCAGTTGACATTCCAGGCTCACTTATTTGGCTCCTTTCACTTTCCGCCAGTCTTCAAGTAAATGCAACTTTCTCCGTGATATGCTACCTGACCATCCGTTACCCCCACCGCATTAAGTTGATGTGTTCCATCTTGTACTTCTCTCAACATAGCATGCTTCCAAGCGCTCATACTTCTTGAGTCACTCATAGGTTCTCTGTTCCCTTAGAGCTGTGCCCGTATCTGATACCTTACTTGTTTACTATTCAGAGAACTGCCTGGCATAGAGAAAGAACCTAGTGAATGCTTCTTGAATAAACAAAAGAATCTACAAATACATTACAGAACCTGTGGGTTAGTGGAAGGAATGCTGGCTTCATAGTGAGAAGTCCTGGATTTAACTATAATTTGAAATTTGAATCAACCATAAAATCACTTTTTCATAAAATAACTATAAAGTCATGGAATTCACTTTGAAAAATGCTCGAATCGAAGAATAAAATTGCTAAACTCCTCACTTTGTTAGCCAGACCTACCTCAATATGAAATTGGGCCCTTTGCTCTCCTTTCCATTCTTTACCTCAT